CCATATGGTTAAGTCCGTCAACCCTCCCAGAAAGCATCCCCTTGAAGGGCCCTCGTAAATGTTCTCGGCGCTGTGAAAGATCCAGCAACTTTCTAACAATAAAGCAATGTTCACGGCCATGATATTCAGCAAAACACAAAGCAGGAAATAATGGCTTCTGTTCTGAATTACTCAAAGGAGGCTTCAGGCTGTCCTGGAGAAGGGTAGGGGGCAGGGGCGGGCAGTGATAAGCCGGGGCCTGCCGGCTGCTGCCTCTAGCAGGAAGAGGCTGGCCTGGACGCCGCTAGCACTGCCCGGTTGTGGGCAGTGACAGTCTTAATCGTGCTCCGTTGGTTTGTGGAGTTTAAGAAAACTCTTAATAATGGATTTATACACCTATGCACTTACAGAGCAAGCACATTCTTAAACTGTAACCTGCTTTGTTATCTAAGGCTTCTTTAATTGGTGCCTTTCTGTGATGGCATCATTTATTGACCACTCTCCTTTTTTTTTTTTTTTTTTTTTCAGAGCAACAGTAACACAAAAACCTTTGAATCAATTAACATTCCCATCTCGATGGACACCTCAAGCAGCAACGACAACTCATACAACAAAGCCACATGACGCTCCCCGATAGGCAAGGTGGTGTTGCTTTTTATGCCAACAAGTTCTGAGATGTGATAAGCTCTTCTTTTTATTAGTATTATTATTAAAGAATCACATAAAAGGTGTGAGAAATACAATTCATGATGAGTATCAGTTCCTTTTTATTTTTACATAAAACAAGACTTGCTTCTACGATATTTTATACAAATATCTGGCTAAGTTTTAGGTCTACATTGCCTAAGTACAGCTTCATGCAAATAGAGCTTATGACCAAACAGCTAATAGAGCTGCACATCACACAAACATATATTTGCCAGGACTAAAACTGGCATATAATCAGGGAGAGGTTTCATATACACACGCTGTTGAACGTATTTTCTAGTTTCCTGATATCTTAACTAGAATATTCCACAATGGACCAGATACCTTCTGTGCAAATATCAGCCTTGGTAGGAACACTTGTATGTTCTGATGTTAGATGTTATCACACCTCCACTGTAAACAATTACTGTCAAATAATTTTCACCAGTAATCTAAGGAGCTTATGTATTTGCCCAATTCCACACAGAGAACTAAATCTATGGAACATTTTGAAAACAGGAAGAAATTTTGTGGAATATTTTGGCAGTGCATCCCATAACCTGTCAGAACTCTGTACTGATATCCATTTTTGTAGACCTCTACACTCTATATTATCTTCACAGTTCTCCTGAAGAATTACTGAGCATGAATTATCTAATAACATTGACTCCATAAAGAGAAATCGGCTTCTTTAGGAAAGCTGGGAATGTATTAAGATTATAGCCACCTACTCAGCTGATTACTGACTCCTACAAACATGTCTCATATGAGGAGAGAGAGAGAGATAAAGAGAGGAAAAGACAGAAGAAGAGACAGAGAGAGAGAGAATTTGCATCACTGTTACCTGCTCATCCACCATTTTCCCGGGTTTGCAGACTTGGTCCTAAATTAATGAGCCTATTACATGATATCTAATAAAAATGACTGGAGTAGAGATACTGCTTGGAATCTGCCACATATTTGGTCCAAGCCTGAATCAATTTCATCTATATTTAACACATGCTCGTTTTCTGTCTCTCCCACAGCCCATGGCTCACTCTTTTTTTTTTTTCCACCTGGAAAACTTATCTCCTAATGCTACCATCCTGGAAAACTTATCTCCTAAAATGCTACCATCAATCAGCCAAAGACACTCTTTCCGACAGAGCGTCTGCCCGTTTGACTAAGCACAAGTAGTCACTAGTTTGGGGATGCCTCCTACACTCTCTAGCGCTGTGTGATTTTCTAGGCTGCCTAACCACACGAGCGCAATTTGGGATATTTATACTTACCTCCAGTTTCTATTGGGATAAAAGTGCTACTTGGACAGAACTGGGCAACGGCATGGTCGGGGGGCCGGGGCGGTGACATGGGATGCACTGAAAGTTGCCCACGTGGTTTGTCTACCTACTTTTATAACCTTATTTCTTCAGATTTTTGCATACACACTCATTTTGTTCTACTTTGGCTCAATGCCTGCTCCAAAAGTATGAAAATCAAATGCGCACACAAGGATGCATAAACTTTGTCCCCCAGATCTTCCCTGAGAACAGGCACTGCTCTCATTTCCCCGCCCTTCATGTCAATATCACTCCCAATCCATTCAAACCGCTAAGTTTAAATACAACATAAAGCGGGGTAGTGGCAGAAAGGAGAACAAAAGTGGGATTGGCAACAGAAGCCGAGCACTAGTCGAAGGGAAGAAAAGGGGGGAATTAGGAGACAGGCAGCCCCCTCCCTCTCCCGCAAAGTTCTAGTCGTGAACACACCCACTGGCCGCAGCAAAAGAGCCCTGTGCTTGGGCACAGGTGGGTCCCAGCCTCTCTGGCTGGATGCAGCTTAAGTGCTGAGCCTGAATGAAGACTTTCATTGCTGTTTGCTGTTTTTGTTGGCCAGTAGCCATGGCAAACATTTGCAGGTGGCTTGGCCAGATTTTGACACTTAAATATTTGAGGTTGTGATAAAAATCAGAATATTACTACAATATGGTTCTGTGCAGCCTCAGAGAAAAAAAAAAGAAAACTATCTGCAATTTCAAATGCTCATTTAAAGACACAGTCTCCAGAGGGAACTCATGTTTTAAAATAAGTACTCATTTCCTCTTTGCTGAGAGAACTAAAAGAGTCAACCATCCCCAAATGTTACCACCTAGAGTTTCATTCTGAATCCACTGGTGAGATGGGTTGGGTTGTTACTTGCTGAGCCCCCATGATCATCCGGGCAAGGTTTTAGATGGGCCACGTGGAGAAAATGGAAATGACAGGAAGTAGGGGTTGGAATCAACATGGTAAGCACAACAGGGAAGGATGTGAAGCAAAGAAACAGCTTCCTTCAAGTTCGGCAACAAGATAGAGTCCTAAAAGTGACAATTATCTCCTAGAACACACCAGGAGAGACACGTAACACCCCAGGATTGGGAATAAACGAGAAGACAGAGTGGGTTGGGAGGTCACATGTAACAGAGGAACACCCACACCTGTCAGGGCAGTGACACAGCCTAGGAATGTCATCCAACTGTACAGCCCTGGGCCAGCTGGGTACATTACTGACAGAGTCAATACCCATCTTAGAATTTAGTGCTAACCCTTAAATGACTGTTTCACAAAAACCAGCATTGTACTAACAATGGCCAGATACTAAGGTCCTGCAAGAGGGCAGTCGTGGGGCAGGAAGCAGAACTCCAGGGGAGAAGGAATGCTGTAAAACTGCTAGTAAACTCTAGCACATTTTATGTTTTTCTCCCCTTGAAAGAAAAATAAAATAATGACAATTAGCTTGCCTAACTGTGAACTGTTTGCCCAAAGCCAAGCCCCTGGAGTGAAGGAGTCCCTTGAGATTGAAATGCTGTCTTTAACGACCCCACCCTCTTAGTATATTATAGGTTCTTGCTTTAGGAGGTGCAACATTTGCTCCCACAGTCATCTGAGAAGAAAAGAAATCTTTAACCGAGACACTTGCGAATTTAGCATTGGCTTCTTCCAACAAAGCCAAGCATTCAAATGGCCAGATTAATTTTCTGTTTCTTGAATGGGAAACCAAATGTACCCATGGCAAATTCACAGAATAGTCATCACCCACAACTGTCATTTGTTAAGATTCATCTTCATATGTCACAACCCATCCTGATAAGTTGAGAAATGTGAGAGACAAGGTACCCTTTCTAGAGCATTCTAAGGAGGGATAAGCCATTGTCCCTAATGCTCCCTGTTGGTGTGTAATTCTTACAAGCATTTAAAACAAGGAAGGGAAAAGACAGACTGACAAATAGTGGGACAGCTTCTAATATTTTTCTTAAAATCACCGTATCTATTATTCAATGGAATATTCAAACTAAATTCTGATGCATATACCAAACACAGCAAGCTCCCTTTCCTATTTTAAACAGAGAATTCTGGGAACAGAGAGCAAGCAGTTCTCAGCACCCAGCAACATAAATTTATCATAGCTCTTTGGCTTAAGTTACTACCTTTTCTTTCTAAGATCCCAAGCACCCTTAAACCTTTTATTTCCTTTTCACTTTACTCTCGTGAGGGTGGAAAGAAGAGATACCATCCTCATTCTGGAGAGAAGGAAGCTGGGCCAGAGATTCTGCATTTCTAAGAAGCGCCTGGGTAATACCCACGCTGCCGGTCCTCAGACCACACTCTGAGTAACAAGGGCCGAGAGCTATCACCTGATACTCAGAAGTGGGCTCTCTTTCCATCCCATAATACACAGTGTCTGGGAGCATTCTACCTCTTTTTCTCAATGCCTCAGTGTTGTCTCTTTTTACATAAATGAGAGGGATAGGGCCTGCTTGCTTTGTTTTGTCTACTCCAGGAATGAATATGGACCAACGCAGAGAGAGAGGAAAGCTAATGAGAAGGTATTAAAAAGGAAGAGAAGCACAGAAGAAATGATCAGAGGGAAGGAGGGCCATGGAAATACACCAAAGACACAGGTGATGGGCTTAGATCTTAGGAATAGAGGGACATACTCTGTTAGGGAGGAGGCTGGGCAGGTGACACTTCCCTCCGCCATCCTCAAGCATTTGTCCTGAGAACTATGCTCTGCTCTCAACATCCATGGGGTTCCCCCATGGTCATCTTGAAGTTCAAGAATCTTGTTTGAAGAAACAATGACACAGAATGACTTGCTTTTCGCCCCAAAGTCAGGGTCAAAGAGCTTCCACCAAACAGAGACTCCCTCTTCCCTTCTCCCATCAAAAACATCACTCTGAGCTCTAGGCAACATCACACCAGCCAGGAAAACCAACTTCTGTCTTATCCAACCTGAGGACTAGAAACTAGGAGAAAGTCTAGAACATTCCCTGAGCTCCAGCCAGGACCCAGAGACAGCCGAGGAGGTCTCCTTACCCGATCTGGCGGTTGGTGGAAGGTGCCTGTGTGATGACAGAGCTGGACTGGGGTGACGGCATGGCTTGCTGAATCACAACGCTGGTGTCATGGTTGGGCATCCGGGTGCTGCCAAGCTGGTGAGCTCCAGGCCCCACCACGGCCCCACCAACGGTGTTATGCATCGAAATATTCTGCCCAGAGAAGACAGAAGACAGAGGGAAAAGGGTCAGAAGAGGTGAATGCTTCAGTCTACTCTCAAGGTCTCAAAGGCCAAAATGGGGAATCTGGTCATGTCAACTAAATACAGAGTTATGGCTTCTGGCAAGCCATGGGTCCATTTATCTTTGTTACAACTTACAGCTACGATGAGATGAAAAATAACTATTCACCTTAAGAGGAAAGCACATAAGAAAATACCTGGAAGTTCGCTAATCACCCTGCCGCCATCCCAATGGGAGGTTTACATCAGGGATGTTTAGGGCATATCTGCTCTGACTTGGTGTGATATATATTGCATTTGAAAATGACTTCTGTGGTAAGTGCATAATACTATGATTTAGCAAAGAGCCATTCAGCACCCTGCTTTGAATGACAAGCACACTTGTTATTTTTTCTTTTTCAGTCCTATAAGACTAACCACCTCTTCTTTTTTTCCAGGAAACTACTTTTCCAAATCATAATCTGGGTACTCATGACCCAAGCTCAACAACCTGGGGACTGAGGATGAACGACTGGAAAAGACAACAGGGTGTCTGGGATCCAATGACAGGAGTGAGAGTTACAACTCTGCTGTATTTCCATAAAATCAATCTCTAACAATTTGGTGGAATAATGGAATACTGACAATGATTTCTCGTCTGTTTACTTGTTCATTGTCTTTTCCTCAAGAATATAGAATGTTTGTGTTCATTATTCTATCCACGGTGCTTAGAGCACAGTAGGCAGTTAGTAAGCAAACACTGCATGAAAGTAGTGAAGAAAATAATGACACAACTGAGTCACTTGAGGGACCTAATATCATGTATTTATTTCTGATGACTTGAATGAAGGTTTCTTTGTTTAAAATTCAAACATAAGGTAAAATATGCATGATAAAGCTGGCTTAAAAGACAGCTCTTCCTAGAAGAGAATGTCAATGGGACAACAAGAGAGGATTCACACTGAGGCAGAAGAGGGCTGATCAACATGGTGGGGCTGAAATGTGAGAAATTCAGAACCTAGAAGAGAAAAAGGAAGTTCAGGGCAAAGCAACATAAGTCAGTGGGCCTCTGGAAACAGCCAGATAGGTACAGCCCTTCAGCCTTGAAGGGTAGGGAAATCTGAGAGGTCAGTTGCACAATGGTTTGAGGATGACAGGAAAGAAATGGAGTGTCACTAGCAATTTACTAGAGGAAAAATATCTGTCTGCGCTTTGGCAAAGAAAAAAAAAAAAAGTGTTACCCAGGACTACTAGTAGTGGTTCTTTGAAGTTCTTCTGTAAAGAACAGGATTTCCTGCACTGTGTGTTAAATGACGGTGATAACATATATGGTATTGGGGGTGCTTGTGTCCATCACACTACACCTTTCCCAGGTTTCTGATTTCCATACCCTGACCACACAGCTTGTCGGGAGCCAGATGGCACTGTGTGTTAAATGACGGTGATAACATATATGGTATTGGGGGTGCTTGTGTCCATCACACTACACCTTTCCCAGGTTTCTGATTTCCATACCCTGACCACACAGCTTGTCGGGAGCCCAGATGGCAACTGGGCACCTGGCTTAGACTGTAAGCCGACTGTTGTCCTCCGATCCCAAAGGCATGAACAGGCTTAGACACACACACACACATGATCCAAAGGCTCCCCTCATATACTGGAAGGTTTTTCTGACGTGGGAAAATATTGTGGTTGCTTAAAGTGAGATGAAAGGAATGGTGACTTGTATTGGGGTGGCAGCACAGGGATACGCTTGAGTTCTTTTTATAGGATCTAGAGGAGTAGAGAATCAAAGTAAAAGTAATAGCGAAAATAAAGATAATCATTATTTCTTTCGAAAGTGAACCTTCACCAACTTATTTCTCTAGGTCTTAGTGAGGTTGTGATGAAGTAAACATTGTAAGTATTATTTTTCCAGTGTTTAGATCCTTAAAGATATTTGAAATTTTTCATCCTGTTCACAGTCACCTACTTTGTCAATAATAGATCTGAGGCACAGAAGGATTTCTGCTCTCTTTTTATTATTCCTGTTGTGCTGTGCTAGTGAAAGTTATCAATAGAGCTAATCAATTTTTAAAATAATATTCTCTTTAAGTTCACAAACAATAATATAAAATGTCTGAAACCTCCTTTGGCACCTCTTTTCTATCACCCCCACATGCAGTCCCCAAGTACCATAAATTCAATGTAAGCATCCTCTCTTTCCATCTCTTTTTCCACCAACTTCCACCCAACCACCATCTTCTTTCCTGGATTAAAGAAGTGCTCTCCTAACTGGTCCCTTGTCATTCACCTGACTTCCCTTCCTCCTCTTTCCCATAATACAGCCACAGTCATCCTTTCAAAAGGCAAAACTGATCTCATCGCACACAAATCCAGCTACATGGCCCACCCTCTCCATGCTTCTTAGGTGGCCTCTCATGGTTCAGAAGACCCCGACAGCACTCTCAGTGTGACCTCCAAGGCCTGTATGACACCCTTCCTACCTCCCCTGCTCATCTCACACCACCTTCACTCTGGCTCTCTGCGATTCACTCCACCTGCATGAATTTTCCTGCTCTCATACTGAAGATGCTCCATTTCAGCACAGAGCTGAATATGCTGTTTTCTGCTACCTGTACTCTTCCCCAGACTCCACCTTCAAATCACAAACTAGGCATCATGTGAGAAAGCCTTCCCTGACCTTTCCAATGAGGGGCACCATCTCCCCCTCCTTCATAGCACTTTTCACAAGTTTACAATTGTCTTCGATTATTTGATCAATATCTGTTTCTCCCTCTAGAATATAAGCACAATGAGAGAAGGGACAAAGTCCGACTTTACTCCCTACTGAGTCTCTGTGGCCCAGATCAGTGCCTGGCACAGTAGGCATGCAGTAAATAGTGAGAGAATGAGTAAATTATAAAATGACATTCCTAGAATATTCAGTATAATGAAAACTTATCTTTTATTTCCTGGGTGATTTTTGAGAATGCTAACTCTTTTGTCTATTTACCTTGAAATCTCAAAGCATGATCACAATGAAAGATGTTAAGATATGTTAGATGTTAACATACTTGTTTGATTATGGGGTAGAGAAACAGAGAGGATCAGAATTAAGAAGAAAGCCACAAACGTGGAACGTAGATTAGAAAGTAAAGCCTTTGAGAAAACATTAAACGAGCCCTTCAAGGAAGATACCAAGAAACGAGCTTCAAGTCTTTGAGCACTTTGGCTCAAATGGTATGTCCATAACCATTCTTAATCTCCACCAATGGAAACCAGGAAAAACTTGGTTCAAAAATTTTGAAACCTGGTGCAAAGACACTGGTTTGATTTCTTCAGCATAAAGCATGTTAAATGAGAGAAAGAAATAACTCTCCCCTCAAAAAGTTTAAGAATCTTCTCTGTGAACCATTAAAAAGAATAAAAAAGACTATCTAGGATATACTTCACACCCTCCCCCACCAACATTTTTAAGAGATCTCTTTGTCTCTGTGATCTCCACCAGAGATGGAAAAAGCTCTTGAAAGTTATATCCTAATATTTCAAAAATCTCCTTTCTCCCCAACGCATGAAATCTGAAAATTCTCCAGCCTCCTTCCCCCCAGACCCAGAGAATAATTTCGAAACATTTTGGAAAAATAAACAAATGTAAGCGAGCATTATCATTTCACATTAAGTTGGTTTTTTTTTTTTCTTTCAGCATTACATAGTAACTCAAACATGAAATTACTTCTGAGTTCACATTTTCCCAATTATGGGTTCAAAACCTGTCTTCCTTGATAAAAGAATGGCATTTTATCTTTAAATAAATATCCAATTTCAAAAACACAAGAATGACTATATCTCGCTGAGTTATTTTTGTTAGCATAGGTGAGTAGACTTGGAGCTGGTGAAACAACGTCACCAAACACCGGTTGGATGTCAATATGCAGGGAAGGATCTGAGGTGTTCCGGGAGGCTCAGCCTTTGGCCTTTTCTTGTTCAACATTTTTATCAACCGCTTGGATGAAGATGTAAAAATCATGCTTGTCAAATCTGTGGTTGACACAATGTTGGGAGACGTCGCTAACATTCTGGATAGTAGAACAAGGTTTTACTTGAGCCAACTGTGTGATCTGGCCTCCAAAAATGCTAACATAAATCTAGGTTGTTGTAGGAGAAGTGCGATGTCCAGATCAAGGGATGTAATTATTCTACTGTCAAGCACATCGGACTGACCACATTTGGCCACCACAGTTTAAGGGGGAAATTGACAAATAGGAGGGAATGAAAGCAATGGAGGCATCCAAAATGCATCACAGGAAGAATGGTACAAGAATCAGGGAATATTTAGTCTGAAGAAAAGAAGGCTTAGAGGTCATGCTAACTGCCTTCCAAATATTTGCGGGATTAGACACAGTCTATGTCGCTCCAGAGGGCATAATTTCAAAAAATGGGATCATGATGACAAAAGCCAACAATAACTAAAATTTGAGTACCTATTGAAGCAGCTATTATGGTAGATGCTTTACAAACTGTACCTCTGATCCTCACACTGACCCTACAAGATAGGCATTATTATCCTTATATTAAGAGTAAAACTCTACACCATCACTAATACCATTCCATTCCCCTTTGGCCACACTCACTCCTCCTGGACTGAGGCTTTAAAAACAGAAATTCGACCTTTTGTTGGGGTAAATTTACCAATATGTAGGGATAGGCAAAGATAAAACAAGTTGCCTTATAAAGTACTAAGCTTCCTAGCATCAGTAGGGAGTAGTGCCATCTGTTAATGTCACCAAGAGGATTCTTGCAACAGGAGGGAGATGGCACTAGATGACCTCCAAGGTCTCTTCTTGCTAAGATTCTCTCATAATACACGGTTCATACTTTGGTTCAAATGCTTCCAAATGATTAGTAACGTGTGATAATGTTGAAAATATACTGGTTTAGGAGTCAGGAGGTCTCTTCTACTTCAGTCTCTCTAACCCTCCTTGTAGCCATGTAACCTGCATAAATCATTCA